ATACTGTATACGGGACTTGACCTCACAGAGTTGGTATCTGGGAAGATTTGAAAGCGGAGAAACAAGTGGTGAACCAGCTCCGAGCAGGTCGTATATCCCCAGGCTGTATTGTTATGAATAATATTGTCATGTACTGTCAGGTTATATCATTGCTCTCCCTTTTCATCCTCCTCTCCCCCCCTCTAATTGCACTACTACGACCCAGGTTCCCTGAAAATCACCTAAGACAAGTTTTTAACCAACCTTCACAGATGTATTAGTCTCCCAAACAATACATTCCTTTGCCGTGGTATTCACTGTTCCAGGTGTTCAGTGACCACTCACCCACAAAACCAACAGTTCCTCTCTTGCACGGAGAAAGAACTAGCAAGTTACCGAAACACCCAAAGGGCTTTTTTTTTTTTTTAAACTAGTCAGGCAATCATCTCGACCCCTCAAACTAGGGGTATCATTTGGTAAAGGGGTAGAGAATCTACTCCACATATCCCTTCACACTACCCTAGAATTATATATACTTATATACGGTTATATCACTGTCAAAAATTGTAAACAGTGATCTGTTCATTTTTCCTTTTAGTTTTTATTCTCCTTTATGTTATTTTACTTTATTTTTCTTTAACTTACCTGTGTACAGGTGGTCAATTAACCAATAAGGTGGTAACACAATCTTTAGCAAGTAACGTGACTCTTGTAATAGACCTAGACCTCAGACCAGACTTATCTAAGACTGAGAGACCCTCAGTTTGATTCACACCATCATCGAATAGTATCCACTCCTAAGCAGAGAAGAGACCTACACTGACACCTATGACATGTCCACCATATAAATTCACTTGCAAAATGCACAAGGGCTCAATACCCCAGAAAAACGAGCTCTAGCTCTAGATGACTTCCATAGAAATAAAGCAGAAGTAGTGTTCATCCAAGAAACCCATTTTAGGATAGATTCAGCCCCATCCCTACGTAACCGCAAGTACCCTACAGGCTACTTTAGCCACTTCACAGGTGCTAAATCCAGGGGAGTAGCGATACTAATAGGTCAACATGTACCCATCCAATTCATAGAACAGAAATCTGATGAAGCAGGAAGATATATATTTGTGAAAGGAAAAATTGGGAATGTGGTAGTCACTCCGGCAAACCTGTACCTACCTAATAAAAAACAGTGCCAGGCACTGCAAAAAATCCTGCACTCACTAACCCAGTTCCAAGAAGGCATATTGATCATGGGAGGCCACATGAACATAGCACTAGATAGCGATCTAGATACATCATCCTCACATAGCGAATATAATACATCGGCCCGCACTAGGTTCCGTAATATCTAACATGACGCTAGACTATTCGACAGCTGGTGGTCATTATATCCCACCAGAAAAGACTACTCCTTTTACTCACCACCATCAGGTAGCTATTCCAGAATTGACATGCTATTTCTTCAACATAGTCGACTGGATCTTCTGAGGGGAGCCACGTATGGTCAAATTTCATGGTCAGACCATGCCCCCTCTCAGTGGATCTAACGATCCCAACTCTACCCAATTCACGCCCCCAATGGAGACTAAACGATCTCCTAATGAACCACCCGGAACATATCACCATAATACAGGAACATTTAAGCCAATACTTCAAAGAGAATGAACATCTGGACACGACGCCAGCTATGGTCTGGGAAGCACATAAATGTGTAGTTAGAGGAGAGCTTATAAAGTTAGCCTCCACTTGAAACGCGAAAGGGAGAGCAAAATTCTTTCCCTAACCAAAAAGATTAAAAATATGGAGGAACAGCATTCCAGAGATCACGTTTTAGACACTTACAAGACATTAATAACATTGCGAACTGAACTCACTACTTCTGTAAACCTCCACGCGAAAAA